TATACATGAGGATTGCTTTATCCAGTGGGAAAGAAGAACAAGTCCAGCGGTAAAAATAATAATTATAAATTTTAATTCTTTTTAATTTGTATTAATTCATCTATTGATATTAGTTTTTTTTTTATTTTATTCATCCATTTATATTATTTTTAATTTATTGAATTTTTTTTTCACAAAAAAAGGTTACTTGTACATACTGCCGAATTGAATGGAAGAATACCACCCTTCCTCTCCCACCGAGTTTAAGTATATAATATTTACCTTTTTTATAAAAATTTAATGCTGTATTTATTGTATTATTAAAATTTTTTTGTTTATTTATTTATTTAGCCATACCACCACAACTACGGGGTAGAATTATTTCTTCTTAAATTTATAAATATCAAATACTTATAATTTTTCTTTTTTTTTAAAAAAAAATAAAATTTTATTATATAATTCGAGAAATAATTGTTTGGTTTCATTTGTTATTACATATGTCATTGTGTAGAATTTGAATAATATTGGACAAAAATAATAATGAATTCATTGCATGCAACTTAATAATAAATAGTTGCTCGTTTCTAGACTATTCTAAATTGGTGAGAGTAAGAAAGTTGGATAATTATAATAATTATAGGGATTTTATTGGTTTGATTCTCAAGTTATCTGGTGCCTCAAAAGTATTTGAAAAATTAGAAAGTTTTATTGTTCGAAGAATAGCGGAGAACATTTTAATTTCTATGCAATGTCCGTCAGCAAAACCCAATCAAATTTCATTTAATATAGGTTAGAAAATATACAGTGGGTGATCAAAAGATGATGCAGATGAATTATTATGTCAAATAGCTGAGAATGTACCAGAATCTCTTGAAACTATTGAAATTATAATGGATTATTTATGGATATTTAGGGTGTTATAAAGGATGAGGATTAAAAAGATAATTGTAAGATGATAGGACTGCGACTATTTTCATGAAAATTTTAAAGTTATTGAAAAATATGGAGTTCGATTTGATACAGAACCAAATATTTTAAAGCATATCATCGTCATGACATGTGAGAACATAGAATAAATCTATTCAAATTAATAGTTATCATGGAATAGAAGTATCAATCGATAAATACATAAGTGCTCAGAATAATTGATAAATCATTCGCTAGTGAAAAATATAAAGTCACATAACTCTTGTTATTCATATTAAGTTATAATATATATTTATTTGCAGTTTTCATGAACGATTTGTCATGAAAATATGTATATATATCAAATGTAGTAAAAATAAATGAACGATGATGTCTAAACTTGAAATCATGAACCCGTAATAGATGTTTAACATATTGTTTAAATGGTATATGATATTTACGGAAATTATCTTCATGACCACCAACTCCATAGGGAAATAGAGTAAGAAATGCAGTAGGTAAAAGAGATAAATCTGTATATTCATTTCTAGGTACATTTGAATGTGGTATTAGGATTATATGAGAACAAATTTGTTTATCGTCAGTTAATTCTTGTATTATTTTTTCAAGTAACTTTAGAGTACGTTCTTGTTCAGAGATAGGAATATTATCAGTATAAGTTACACCAGAATTTCTTAATTCAGTGATAGGATCATACAATCTAGATATATTTTTTTCATTACTCATTTCTTTATCACTAATACCATCTAAATCATTATTCATATTGTACTCATTAATTGGATCTGTTGTATATCCAGTATAATGTTCAATTTTTTCAGGATCAACATTAACCATTACAGTTGTTACTAACAAAGCAGTCGGAACTCCATTTTCCGGTAATGATTCTAATGCTGTTTTATCAAGTTTAACATTTTTGTATAGAATATTATGATTTATCAACTATTCCAAAGCTACAGCAACCTTGTTCTTTCTTACACATAATACCTTTTTTAATTGTTCATCCGATGGTTGTCCACCTCCAACAAATACTACTTTCAAATGATCACATAACCGATATACAGGCAAGGGTAAAATCTTGGAAAGTGAAGTCAGTTCTTGTGTAAATGTAATTACATGGCCTTTCAATTTATGATATGTACATATGTCTCTGATTATTAAGTTGAATAAGGTTTATACATATGTAACCTGTGGATATCAAAAGTTGTTCTGGTATTGTTAATTTCTGAAGACATTGCGGAGCTGTTCCAATCCACATATTTGCCAATGAAAAAATTGGAGTATTGCCTGCTTTTAATGATTGTTTGCAATTGTTGCATAATCGAAGATCAAAAGGATTTTCATTATCATCATTTTTAACAAATCCATTTCTATTAAACAAAATCTTATAACCACTTTTATCTATATAAGGGTGTCCATATACAAAGTCAATTTCAAAAAATGACCTTTCAAGATATTTATTAACTTCAAGTAAGGGTAAGCATATTTCTTGCACAGAAACAGTATTTAAATATTCAAACGAAAATAAACCAGAACAAACCGCACAAGTCAATTCTCTAAGTAAATCACAGCTAGTATTATCACGAAATTCAGCTAACGCATTATTTGCAACAATTTTATTAACCGGTTGTGGCCATCATTCCTTCAATAAATCAAATTTATTAATCAATTCTAGAACACGTAATGGAATTTGTGCTTCAATCACTTGGATGTCTTTTTCAATACAAATTTTTTGTTTTTAGTACGTTGAATTTCACGTCGTTTACGTTGCTACTCTCGTTCACGTTGATGGTAATTCACATCAGCACGTCTAATAGCTTTCTGTCGTTTACGTTTTGACTTAAAATCATTTGAAACTATAGCTTCATTCCTAATATAATCAAAAATTAGCATATTTTTTTTTTATTTAATAACTTGAAACTTCAAAAACTATATTTACATTGTTTAGCAAAATTTTAATATTAATTAATTAAACAAGTAATCATGATGAAAATAATAAACACAAGATATATCACATATTATTTTTGAATACACATACTACTTTTATACGACACAAACAATCAACAAAAAAATAGTCACAATGACTTTTTTATTGTATACAAATAAAAAATAATATTAAAAATACTACTTTAATAAATAATCAACAAGTAAAAAATTAATCCTTATTACAAATTTTTATATGACATCTAAATTAAATAACAATTATCAAACACAATGACATTTTTATCTTACACAAATATAAAATTATTACAAAAGAATAGACTCAAAATCATCTGAAATTAAAACATTATTCCTAATATAATCAAAAATTAATATATATTTTTTTTTAATAACTCGAAACTGCGAAAGATATATTTATACAGTCAAATATTGATCATCGTTTAACATAATTACAATAGAAATCGATCAAACAAGTAATTCGTACAAAATTACCAAACACCATTTTTACATATACAAATAAAAGGAAAATATTACACTATAAAATAAAACATTCTTGCGAAACAAAATTTATTACAAATTTTTACATGACAAACAAAAAGCCTCAAATCAAACAATTATTAAATAAAAAATACAGTCACAACGACATACATATTTATTTTAACGAAAGATTTACATACAAATTATGCAATAATAAATATGACGAAAACGTAATTTCTATCAAATAGAATCTCACAAGACTCAAAATCATCTGAAATTAAAACTTCATTCCTAATATAATCAAAAATTAGCACTTATTCTTCTTTTCTAACAACTCGAAACTTCGAAAGCTATATTTATACAGTCAAGTATTGATCATCGTTTAGCAAAATTACGATAAAAAATCGATTAAACGAGCAATTCGTATGAAATTACCAAATACTAATTATTTTTATACACGTAAATAACAGGAAATATTAAACCATAAAATATTCATAAGTAAAATATTCTTGTGAAACACGACAAACAGAAAGCTTCAAATCAAACAATAATCAAATAATACAGTCACGATGACATACATTTACATTCATGCAATAACAATTATAATTTTTACTAAAAATAGAATTTCACTAGACTCAAAAAAACGTGTCACGATGATTCACGAAATCATAATTTCTATTAAAAATAGAGTTTCGCAAATCATCTGAAATATAACCTCATTCAAAAATTAATAATCTTTTCTTCACTTTAACAACTCGAAACTTTAAAAGTTATATTTATATAGTCAAGCATCAATCGTTGTTTAGCAAAAATACCATGTTAATCGAACAAACGAGTAATTGTATAAATTAATAAACAAAAAAATACAATCACGATGACATACGTTACAGAAAGATATACATTTCATGCAATAACTGTTAACAAAAAAACGAAATCATAACTTCTACCTAAAAAAGAAGTTTGCAACGAAAATCATAACTCTTACTAAAAAAGAAAATCGTAAAAATCAGCATAAGCGACATCAAAAAGTTGAATCCATCCATCCCTCCACACATAAAACGTGATCGTGCTGGTATAAATTTTTTTGTTGATCATAAATTTCAATAATAAACAAATTTATATAATTTCGGACTTAATGTTAATTTGAACTAACTTGCTCTATGTATTACAACCTCTTATAGCGAAGCTAGTGTCTATGACGTATAATATAGATATAATAAAGATATGATGAAGGTGCGATGAAGATGCGATATAGTCACGATGAACTTTTTTCATATACATATAATCATATGAAAAATAGGTACAGTATATCTCTATTAAGTGGTAACTGTACTGCAACTATTTTGTGAATAGCAGAGCTAGTGATGTGAACTGATGATCAACTATGTTTATTAATAGATGAAAAAAAAAACAAAAATACTGAGTATTATGATATTCCTGGATGAATTTTTGGAAAAATATTGTGAATATAATTAAAAAGAGATTTATATGGGATATCAATGCAAAAGTAAATTTTAGCACATATGTACTAGCTCACACCAAAATCTCGTAAGGGATCACATGCAAGCATAAATGGTGACCGCTTGATGGTGGAATTCTGAGATCGAGCCACAATAGCACATTATTGAAGTTTAACACTTTTTTAATATGTAGTAGTATTGTAAAGCATGACTTATACTTATAGTGATCGTCTGTATTAATAAAATTATGGGCCAATCACAAATCAATCTGTGCGACAATAGATTTCTCATTTTTTTCCATTTGTACTACTATTTTATAATAGCAAAGTCATGTCGTTTAACGTTGCAGGTTCCTCCACCAGTGTTCCTGTTATTCCTTCATCTGATCTTCCGACGGTCGAGGAAGTGAGAGGATTTAATGCCGAAGAACTTAATGGCTTTTTGAAAAAGAGGTTAAACAACATTGATAATCACATAGACACCTTAACAGCTCAAGAAGTCGAGGGCGTAGCCTTTCTTGCACTAAAATATGAAATGCTCGTAAATCCACCTTTGAATATTCCAATCGGACCAGCTGTAAAATTGGTAGAATTGATTAATGACATTCAGGGAGGTAAGCGAACTTCTCTTATGGCTCGACTGCAATTTAATATTCCAGATCTATCTGTTTCTTCACGATAGTTTCGTTTTATTAGCTTGTGTCTCGTATACTTTCCCTTCTTAATTCACTAACTTATTATCTTATTCGCACGATTAGAGCTTCTCACCGAACAAGAACTTTTCCGCATAGTTCTTCCATTACCCATATTACGTCCAAATACGACAACTACTATGACTCTCTCTTCATCGCGAAAAGTACCTAATGATCCATTGGAATCGTGGGACTTTCTTACCTACGCTTTTAATGCATCATTGAATCTTAATACAAATACCCGTAGATATAACAGGCCCACCAATATAGAAATCGTCTTAGCTAGTGAAAATACGACGGTTGAAGGGTTTTTAAGAACTATGGAAGTTTTCAATGAGCAAAGATTGCTTGATCTAACGAGACCAGAAAAATGGTGTAGGTGCGAATTTTTTCGGCAAACTGTAAAAGGTCATCCTGATTTCATACGTTGTAGTGCTGAAAATAAACAACAGCTTTTGAGACGTGAATTTACTCGGTTACTCGCAGTATCTGAAGCGAAACCCGAATGGCTGATTAGATCGTTGTTGGGGGAGGAGGAGTTGTATACGGCTTACAACATAGCGGTAACAGCGGTGGATGATGGCACAGATTCGTATACTAAATATCAAAAAATCATTAGAATCGTTCGACAAATGTTTGGATATATGGTCATTAATGACATGCAATTTGGCTTGCTTACGTCATACGTCCGAACATGGTTTTTCTGCCGTCAACCTGAAAATCCAAACAGTCTTTACATTTCTCCTGCAGTTTCCACCAATCAGAACCATACGTCCGTTCAGGCCTCATTCTTGGAATGTATGCATTATTTTGAAAATCTATCTACAAATAGCCCAAATGTACACTCTTCGCCTACTACTGGCGAAGACAATGAGGATGACAATAAGGATGACAATGGTGATGATGATAATGATAACAATGATGATGATAATTATATGGAGGAAGATAATAACGATGGCTCAGGCTCTAAACAACATAAGAAACATAAGAATGTTTTTAAAAAAGCTATGAAAGTAATTATTCGGAACGTGTCAAGAAAAGGAAAAGAGAAAATGCAACTCAGAGATATGAAAAATTATGATCGTAATCAGTTTTCTTTTGGCGATATGTTGGGAAATGGTCGATCCGGGGCTGTTTTTACAGCAAAGCTTTGCGGGAAAACTGGCGCTCTTAAAATAGCCGATCTGTATAAAAATGAGAATTTACTAAAAGAAATGCTTAATGAAATCAAAATCTATCACGGTCCCCTCAAGGAAATTCAAGGCATTTACATACCAAAGCTTTTGAAATTCGGAGTTCTTCATGAAGCTTTTGTTTTTATCTTTACATCATTTGCTGGAGAATCCTTTGCGGAGCTAGGAAATAAGCTCACAAAAGAGGAGAAGCAATTGGCTATTGAGGGTTTACGGGCGATACACATAAGAGGAGTGATGCATGGAGACGTTAGGTTGGAGAATATAATGGTGAAAGAGAAGAATTTGACTGGTAAAAATTGTGTGTGGTGGATTGATTTTGCGTTGAGCAAAATAGGTAATGCAAAAGAACTGGATAGGGAGATGTTCGAGTTGAAACGATTGCTTGGTATTAACATTAAAAATTCCTGAATTTAAAATAATACGAGTACACGATAAGAAGTGTTTTCTGCGTAATTCACAATGTTCAAGCATCCCAGCAAAAAATAGAAACAAAGTTGCATATAATCATTATATCATTAGAAGTAGCGTAGAAATTGAAATATTTAAAAGATAGTGGATTACAATTTTAAGCTATAAAAAAGATCATTTTTATAATGTATTGTGTCTCGTCCTTTGTAGCTTATAATTTTATTATGTTATTTACAAGGTATATTCAACAAAAATAATTTTTCATGGCAAGTGATCTGCAAATTGTAACTTACACATGATTTTAACTGTCTCTTTCATAGATAAAAAGAATATCTTTAATTCCATCTTCATTAATTTCTGATGCATTTTCAAAAGATAGTAGGTTGCAGGATTCAGATGATCAAAGGTAGATAATAATTTTGTGACTAGAGACCAAAGTGAATCTTTTCGTGACTTAATTGCATGAGCACTTTGGCTTACTACAATGTCATCAGTATATTCTGCAAATATCGATATCTGATTTCTCTTACTCTGGATCGCTTTAATCTTCGACATCATAGTTTGCTGATTGATAAGATTAACAACAATATTTTGCTTTATAAACTTCACACCATATATTTCAAGTGTTTTATTAAAAGCTAAATAATGACTTTCGCTTGTTAGATTTACAGAACATACAGTTTGTAATAACTTTTGTAACTGTGGATCATCATGAAC